TTTTGTTTATGGTAATCTACCTGACGGACGTAATGGATTTTTTGATTTTTCCAGTAATGACATAGTTTCTCAGTTGTTTCCTCGTATAACCGTATGATTATCACCTTTTTAATTTAGACGAAACCAGCGAATGAAGAATCAAAACCAATCGATCCGATGGCAAACAAAAATGGTCACTGCAAGGACACTGAAAATGGCTTGATCGAAAAAACGGTAATTACACGCTTAATATTTGTAAATCGGTGTCAATAATAAACAGTACAATCGAATCTCAATTTCAGACACGCACCACGCGTGAAAAGTCGAAATCGATAGACTCAGCCGATGGCGCATTACAGTTGAAAAACGGTATTAACGGCAACAGCAACGAACAGCTTCATTGTCCAACAGACGAAGAATCGGTAATGGAATTTTATGTGAGGCTTAATTCTCAGATATCAATTGTCTAATCATTCAACTCTGCTTTTAGACTCGCGACGTGGAGGTTAAGCCCCAAACTTCGCGCTCGCGTCAGCAAAAGACCCTAAGAATCGGCTGGTTGCACAAGGAGCCGTCGGACAGGCGCTACACCAAAATGAAAAAGCCCCCAGGAGGTGTCAAGCGACTCAAACTTGACGAATCGAGGGCCTACAGTGCCGCCGACATTCTCCAATCGGCCATCAAAGAGTTTCAGATTCCCGAGAACGAGTATGAGGCCCAGTTGGGCCTGTTCGGCGGCCATGTGATAACCGATTTCGCGCTCGTCCCATACCGGACAGCAGGCAAGAAGCACCAAACAGCCGCAAACAACTCGTTTGGTTGCGACGACATCTGGAACTACTGCAGCCTGCGCGGCACCACGCCCTATCAGCTCAACCTCTTTGTTTTGACGCGAAATAGAAGAAAAGACAACGCGCACGTGCTTTACCATTACGCCCGGATGTCCAAGTACTCGTGCGAGATGCTCTACACCGAGTGCGACAAGCTACAGTTGCACGCTTACATGATGGAGCAACAGTTCGGGGATGGACCCCCGTTGGAGCAATTTGAGCCTCCCGAGTATGGTAACCCGGTCAGCAGGATCGAGAAGGACGGAGAGGTTATGTTGCAGGTGTGCCTCGAGGGCGAGGAAAACAGCAGCGCCAGAAAGGTCCCCCAGTATCCCATGGCCAAAATAACGCCCCAAGCACACGAAATTGTCCACGATCTTGATGAGATTCAGGGGGTTTGTCACGGGGTTCTGGGTATTGGTCTTGTTACTAGTTGTACCGAGGAATGCCGGCCGGTGTTCACGTGGATGAGGGATGGTGGTGTATATAAGAGTGCTGAGCAGCTGTGCTGGCTGAGCGAAATGGGGGACGCCGGACAGGCGCACGTCTGGAGTTGCACAGTGAAGTGTAGTGGTAGCGATCGGGTGCTCAAGTCAAAGGAGGTTATGGTCAAGGATGAGTATTGAGGCCACGCCGGGTTTTGCAATTTTTACACGAACTTTGAGAACAAAGATATGTCTTTCGTTGAAGCATTGTGGTGTCTTTGGGTAATATGATCTCTACTGTGAATTTCCATATCATATCCATGCAGTTTTTGGACAGAATCAGCATGTAATCCATATATTGATTCCTGACATGGGATCTTCATTGATCTAACATAAATTGTATCTTAGAATCGGTCTTATTTTGCCATATAAATTTATTGAAATTTCCGTGCAAACTCAAATGTATTAGAGTATCATCAGTATGTGTACGATTTTTATAAAAATTTTTAAACAATTTTAAAGTTACCAAACAGATTTGTTGCGTTTTGTGTACTTATTAATAACTTTTTTTATTGATGCGTACTTGGATTAGTGATTTTTAATGTACAAATTAATTGTGTCGATTTTTTGATTATTTAATTTATGCCACTCGATAGTAAGTATGTCTATTTTTATCTATATACAAAATACGGTGGAACGTACATAACCTATACATAATGACGTTATTTGCGTTATTTTTCTTTTACATTTTACCAAAGGTAGTTCAATGAAATCATAAGTTTAATTGTATTTTGATAATGATTCACAAACGTTTATTTTTAATACCCACATACGTTATTTAAATCATGTAACCAAGTTATCTCAGCTTGAATCCATCACATATATCGAATAAAAAGCTTTATTCGAAACTGTTCTCCTTTTTTAAATGGCCAGCGGCAAAATATCTTTGTCTATTTATCTTTACGCTGCCATACTGAAGATAAATATTTCATATAATGCTCAAGTCTAAATATGTTGCTGTAAAAAAATTATTATTTAATAGCGTCGGCATTTTCAGGAGGATAAGCCGTTGATGAACGTATAAACAATATAGATTACATTTCACTAGTCTACGGAATCCTCGATAAATTTATGTGGCGTAATGCAATGAATTTCAAGATTAATTTCATGTGGAAACTATGTTACATTGCCAGTAGGGATGGCTTGATTTTCTTAAGGATGGATAATTTTTTTTCTTAAAAACAAGTGACCGAATAACTTGTTTTTTTTTCTTGTTGGATAATATAACCGGACAAATATAAAACTTGGTGTAATTGTGTAATTTTATTTGACGTGACATGACGTGTATCGCGTTAAAAAATAAATTTTAAATATACATCGATTTCGTACGAAATAAAAAAAAATTATCAAGCTCCAAAACTTTCAATGAGACTAAAGTTTTATGAAACGAAAAATTAAAAAAAAAAAAAAAAAATATGGAATGTACTACAAAAACAGTTGGATTTTTAATTTAAATTCACGCTCATATGCGAGAAATATTAGCGAGGAAAGATACTATATAGGTATTACGTACGTGAAATTTTAATGAAATTTTATAAAACGCGCTCGTTTTGAATTTAATGATGTGCGAGCTCAGACGATAAATCAGAGTTTTGAGAATGGAAATTTATGTAAGTAATGGTTTTATTGTACTTATCTTTTAACCTTTTTAAGGTAAAAGTCTGGTAATGTATAATATTTTTATGAAAATTATTTTTCTGATCAATTGTTAACGATAAAAATTATACAAAACACTAAATGTATCTCGATATTTCAAACAATTTTTTTTCTATGTAAAACGTAGATATACATTTTATATAAATGAAATAAATATCATAAAAAAAAAATCTTGAATCATTTCGATGTGGAACACAGAGCCACGACAAAAGTCGTACATGCTGCAAAGCAGAAAAAAACAGCTACTGGGATGAATATTACAAAACGAGGTCGCAGTAAGTTCACAACTAATCCAAAACAGTCGCGCAATCGAACGTCAAAGAGGACACTCGTGGATTCGTTCAAACGAGCCCGTCAAGGTCGAGCGCCCGTTGAAACGGAAGATGGGAAAATAGAAAAGAGGACCCCCCGTCTCTTGACCCAAGTTTCGCGATTTGCGCGCCAATTTGACAATTGCTCGCGTCTTCTTGGCCTCGGCGCTTTGTGTCGAGAGCTTATAGTTTCGGTTTTATTAGAGGAAATATATATACTCTCAGGCCTTTGTGTGTCCGCGTTCAAGTGATAATATACTTAGTCGTCCATAAAAGCGCGCTTTATTCGATTTTCTTCGAGTCCGTTTCATCTCCTTTGGAGTTATTGGATCACGAGCGGAAATTTCATCTGTACTATGAATTTTTTTAATAAAGTCTAGAATGATTTGTTTATCTTTATTTCTCAGCCTTGAGCTGAAAAAATTTTTCCAGAAAAAGTATTGATGTACGGAAAAAAAGTACGAAAGTTACTTTCGTGTGTGTAATAAGAACACAAGTACCCTAGTAATTCTACAGCTTTTACGATTACAAGAAAAACGTCAAAAATAAAACATAATTTGTTTAACATAAAATTTTTTAAATAAATTTACAGACTTTAATAAGTAACAAAAGATAGACGTGCCAGACTATCATTATTTTTATGTTTCTAGACGATGAACGTTGGAAGAACTCTTTTTTTTATTCATTCAAATAAAAAATACTTGTACTTGTCACCTTTCATTAATTTTTTCGAAATCCATTTTATTGGTTAATTACCTTCGACCTCCAAAAAATCAATAAATTATGAAAAATGAGTTAAAATCATTAAAATAGTTCATACGTTTGTAGTCGTATTTTTGCGTAAGATTATTAGAGAATACGATTACAAGAAACTCCAATAATTTTCTGTGAATTTTTTTAATAAGTACCTGGTAAAATAGACCATTGCAAAATCAGTAAATAATGAAAAATAGGCTAAAATAATAAATTAGGTTTTATTAAATTTCAAGACGTACCGCTCAATGTTATTATTATTAAATAAAAAAAAATTTCGTAAATTGTTAAACAAAATCCAAACTAATTATAAAAGATGCAAAATAACTATTCGATCACTTTCAATTTTGTAAAACACTGTAAAAATTGCGTTTTACTCTGTGTACTCACAATTAAAATTACACAGAACAGGTTTTTCATCCGGAAAAACATCAAAGGATTTAATATTCTTTCAGTGTAAAATGTTAGTGTGCTAAAGTACACGTTCAAAGCGTGTAATCGAAGTTTCTGATTTTATAAAAATCATTACAGTAGTCTTGATAAACATTTCAAGAAAAACCAAATCGATGCTTCATAAACTATTTCACCTATTCTATAAAACGAAGCAATATTCAATTTAACATTAAACTAAGCAATTTTCTTTAACGATTGATACAAGAAGGCTGTAGAGAGCAAAACATTCTTGTCACAAATAGACTTGTAAGCGTGTTAAATCTGTGACAGCCAATTAGTTTTTTCATTTCATATGTAGCTTTCCTACATTGGGTTTTTCCATCAAAAAGTGTCCAGTTTAATGGAACTGGTTAACCACTTCGTACACCGTAGCTTTGGTTTCCCTTAAAATTCTTATTCACGTATTTTATAAAAAACAAAAATAACAACTACATACTTCAAACACATCATTTTAAAGTCCATTTCTCCTTTGTAATTAGTCACTGTACAAGCCACGATTAATCTTCTTTCCCTCCGCATCCCAATCGTTCCAGGCATAATAATGGCAAGCCTCCAGTCAGTGCAGTCCGTGATAATCCCCAGCAAAAACTCGTTCGAGCTGTACGGCTACGACGTACTTCTGGACGCGAACCTGCGCCCCTGGCTGCTCGAGATAAACGCCTCGCCGTCGCTCAACGCCACCGATCCCGACGACTTCCGTCTCAAGTTCGACCTCATCGACGACCTCCTCAGCGTTTTGGACCTGGAGAGGCTGCTCACGGGCCGCGAGACCCGCGTTGGTGGCTTCGACCTTCTCTGGGACGACGCGCCCGTCTGGTCGGCCGACCAGCCCAGGGAGCTCAACATCTTCCTCGGGGCCGATAACGATCGCGCGGACCAGCTCAAACGGTTGAGGGAGAGGCTTGGAGTTACCAAAGTACCGGGTGGTGGTGGTTGAGGTTTATCGTTGGAAATCAACTCGGGATTCAGAGAAATTTCTTGTATGGGTAAAAGTAATAAAAAATATAAAATGCTCTTCACTCCACTTGAGTCTTTGTCATCCTATCTTAGTTTTTTTATGTAGGTTCTGTTTTTTGTTCAGCTTCTCATTTTACTCGTCCGTAAACACGCCCACTAGTGATAAAAATTTCCAAAAAAAAAAAAAAAAAAAACAAGCAAATCAAACAAATAATGAAAAAGTATGGAGTGAGATTTTTTTTTGCATGTCAAATTAAAAAATTTCGAGTAAATAATTTTATAGAGTAATTAAGTTCAATATAGAAAGAGACTTGTACGTAGAAACGTGCATACATGTATTTTTAATGGATATGTTTAGTATCCGATTAGCACAGCATGAAAAAACAGAAGATTTTAGACACTAATTTTTCGTTTAGAAGTATAATACTTTTAATAGGGTCAACAATTCAAGTTGGAACCTTAATCGTGATGAATAATTATAAAAACTACAATTACCAAAAATCATGTTTTACAGATTGTGCACACAGGCTGCCTCAGAAAAAAAACAACGTTCAATAAACACACCTTTGTTTGTAATTATTGTTGTTTTTTAAAATTAGTTGAAAATTAAATTCATATTACTTTTTGAATATTGGTCCTAATTTTGGCTATGTTCCTGTACTACCATACCCCCATGGGTTTATAAGCCACCAAAGGAAATAAAAAAAATGTATAGCGTACACATCACAATATCGTCCAATCACGTACCTATACGCAAATAAAACGAGAAAATAAAATCTTGCTCCACTTGAAAACAAAAAACAAAGATTTTTAATTAAAACACAAAAGCCTTATCATACCCAGCGGTGTTGGATCTAGCTCACTCGGTCAGAATGACGGCCTCGATCGACCGGATAAGCACGGCGACGACAAGGTGACAAAAGGATGAAGAAATTCTTCATTCGCACGTTCTAGCTCCCCTTTCTTGTATCTTTCTCATGTGCACCTTCTCAATGCACTTGTCATTCTTATCTCATGTATACTTACGTATGAGGCTGTTTGGATACAGGCGATAAATGTATGAGCAGTCAACAATATTTGAGGACACCGTGGGGTATACGTGTAGTTATAATTACATAAATCGTACTCGATAATAATAACAAGAAGTGAATATTTCTTAAATTTTTTTATCTTTTTTTTCAGTATAATAAATAATATGGAAATTTATTGATTGATTTATTAACTTCATTGAGTGATTACGTTTCAGCTAAAATAAGGGTTTTTCGAAACATTGGCCATTAAAAGTTGCAAGCCAACGTACGGCTGTTTTTTTAATGCGATTCACTTCGGCTGTATCAAGTTGCGCGGAAGCGCGATGAGGTAAGTTTGAAAAAGCACGCTAACTGCGTAGTATAATTATGTCTAGTACTCGTACTTTAACAAAATCAATCTAATGAATACTGACTATTTACTGGTACTTTGCAAACCTTACATCAAATACATTATTGCCTTGCTATGTCGAAAGTATAAGAAAATTTTAGGAAATTATTTTAACTCATTCAATCTAAGGCTTATCGAGTACTAGACAGTATTATACTACGAGTGTCATACAAAATGTGTGTTGCGCCAAAAAAAAATTACCGTTTTTACATTTTGATTTCAGAACTTTTTAAGGCTACCGATTCATTAAGAAGAATACTATTCATTGCCAGTGTATAAAGGCTTCAGAAATTACTTACAAAATACTAACTAAACACATCAAACTTATCTAACCTTATAGTTTTGTTAAAAGGTATTTTTATGGGGAATCACTCTACATCACACTATAATGATGTTTATTTTAACCGAATACGAGTATCTCAAAAATTGATTGTAAAATAATCATTTACACAAGAGTGTAGAAATGTTTGTGTTGCAAATAATTTTTAAGATACTCGTATTCGGTTAAAATAAACATCATTATAGTGTGATGTAGAGTAAATACAGCTGAAATGAATCGTGTTTCTGAAATAGCCGTATGTTAACTATTATCTTTTTCAGGGCAATTTTTTGAGAGGACCTTTTTTTTGTTTTCTCAGCGGCTTGCGAAAAGTTTATGTCTGATCATGCTGAAATTTAGTGGGTATATTAAGGATAGAAATACCTTTTTTATGTCCAATTTTCAGCTCTTAATATTAATCACAACGCGAGTTTATAATTTTGAAAGAAATGGCCAATAATGACAGCTTTTTGCAATTTTGCGATGAAGCCGCTTAGCCACTTTAGGCCCAACGTAGCTCATTTTCTTCATCTTGAAATTGCACATTTTTTTTCGTACGATTCTTCAGTTTTCTTCTAGACGCAAAAAACCTGTTTTGGCCATTTTTGCCATTTATTTTTGGGGGCCTCGCTTGAAATTTTTAGCTGTTACAAAATAGCTCAATTTGGTATGATGCTGGAAAACTAGAGTTCGAATTTTTTTTCTTCCTGACAGCAACTTTCGTAACATTGATAGGACTTCTAGCCTATATATACTACTAGGAAGAGAGCACCGGTGCTCTACCGTATCGCCCGCGGATTGAGCTGTGCTCATGTGCTGTTTGCGACGCGCTGCGCGTTTATTTAATTTTAAAATCCTCCTAACACTTTTAGCTCTTCGTGTACATACATCAACAGCTAATGTTAATAGTGGATCACATTTTTTACTTTTATTGTTATAAATATTCTTGTAAACTTTTGCTTTAAATAGAATAATTTTTGAATTGTACTATAATATTTTTCCGAATTTCAAATCTTGGGTGAAGAGTCTTATTCTTATTCTCGCAACACAAAAACATTATTCCCATGTCCCTTCTTCGTATGAAGGAATTTCAGTCCTTTCAAGAAAATTTTGTCAATATCATGTATGTTTTCAACGTATTAATATTCAAATTTTTGATGAAATAACTGTTCTTTCCATCATCTATAAACATGAGTTTAATGGCCTACGTACAAAATTTAACATACAGTACGTAGTCTTCGTACATGATTGAATCTAAATATGTTATGAATATCGGATTTTTGCGAAATTTTTTCATATTTGCACCTAATAAATTCATGCAATCAACTAAAAATACTGACAGAAACAAAAAAGCACCTAAACCAGGAATCATATCAGGAACCTCCTTATCAGGAAGTTAAGTTTTTTTTGTTTTGTTTCTAATGAATGTTAATTAAGTTTTTTGGAATTAAATTATCTTGAAGTTATTTATCATACATTTATACATATAAAGTGAGTTATAATTGATGAAAAAAAAGCGAAACTGAGCATTCTTTCTTGGCAACTGAAACTGGAAACCGGATTTTTCAAAGCTAACATGACAAAAGGAAATGGGTTCGAAGGATTAGAATTTTCGGACAACAGTACGACAAACGTGTGACAACAATCGTATTTTATTATATAAATTATTGTTCGGATGTATGAGAAAGAGAGAGAGAGAGAGAGCTGTAAGAGTAGAGAGTAAATTTGTAATTTGAGTAGTAGGTATGCTCTCTCCGTGTGAGTCTGTGTGTTGTTAGGTATTAACTAAGGATAGTTCGCTTTTCCTTATGCATGGGGGAAACTTTTTTGAGGTAGTCGATGGTGCGAGGCGTATTCGAGTTCGGTTTTTCGTTCTGTTCGACCGGAGCAAGCGACTGGGAAGCCATGGGGTCGACTCTTCTTCAAACTTGGAGATTCCAAAGAGCGATAAGACCACAACTTATCAATTGCCGTTGACTATGCGAGCGAGATTAACAACACAGCGCAGGTACTTTGTAAATTTACTATAAGAAGAGATAATAGGAGTGTGTTTTGCGAGCGGCCAGGCAACAATATTATTCGAGACCTTTCGAAAGGTAAAACAAAAACAAATAATAGTAGTTTTCGTTGGATAAGTGCCATCGTCTCCGGGGTTATTTTGCGGCCCAAGGGACGTAAGGTAGCCACGGAGCGATGGCCCTTATGTGGCGAATGCTATTTTTCCTACCGAGGGCACACCAGCCTCTCAAAAACGCCCGAGGTAGGAAAAGTCAATTTCGTTTCATAAGTTAAGAAATTTGTTCTTGCAGTTTATTTAGTTTTCCCTTCCTTTACTATCAACCATGGCAAAATTTGTGGCAGTTGCTCCACGTATGATAGTCAATAATTCGATTGACTTAAAGCGTCAACAATTATCATTATTACTTAATGTTTTGGAAACTCTTTCATTATTAACATTTGATTACCTCATTAACATATGTATGTGGCATAAAAAAGCGGTAAATCGATTACATAGCGTAGTGATTTTACTACATTTATAATCAATTAATTAACACAATCTTATGTTAAAAAAAAGGGAAAATACCTAAGTTTCAATCGTGACTACACGCACCTAAGATTCAATATCGATACTTGTTGCGAAGTAAGATTCGATTGTGATCTTTGTGCACAAACTAATTTTATTACAATGAGAAAAGAGGTTAACAACTTCGCCGTACTGAAAAAAAGTGATTTGATAAGTAAAATGTAATATTGCTTATTGTTGTTATAGTGTCTTCTTATCAATCAATTTTTGTACTAGACAGAGTTACTCTGATTTAAAAAAAATTGTACACTTTACTCGTGTCTACAGAACCTCTTACTTTTCGTCTCTCACGTACAGATAACCCAAATTATCGTTCGTTTCATCATCTTCACATCTCGTACTTTCTCTAGTAAACATATTATCAGTGAGATAATCTAGATCTTTTTGGATTATTTTGGCGTATATAAGCAGCACCGTTGAGCTGCAATAAAACACAATTAGTCATTTATTTAGACTGGAATAGTCCATAAACCAACTAAAAACCGCAAACATGAGGGCCGTTCTTTTCGCTTTACTTCTCGTTGCTCTGGTCGCTTATTGTAAGTTGAAATTTTCCATACATTTAATTTTAAAAAATTGCAAAATCGTTTGACATACAACTACTCCTTGGTTATTTTTTTATAAGAGCTTACAGTGTAAATTACTCATAAATGTTGTACTTGGGGAGTGAATCAAAAATTTTATCCTAATATAAATGTAGTCCAAGTATTTGATATCATTTTTAGAATTAATTCGTTGTATCATAAAATTCCAAAAAATACCTTAGGTATGTTGGATGCTATTAAGCTCTAAGTAAGTGTTTTAAGACATTTTTTATTTTACTTGGCCTATTAGATGGATAAAAAAATTAATTAAAAAGTGATTTTTTTTTTCCAATATAAACAACTGACAAGGATAGAGGCTGTCAAAGCGTGGGCTATCAGACTACAGTAAATTTACATACTAAATTTTTTATGGAATGTGATAATAAGCTCGTAGTTACTACAAAAAATTTTTTTGTTACATTGTATGCTCCTTACTTCCTTATTTTGACATACTCTATCTCGGTCAGGTGTCAGTTGATAGGAAAAAAGACAAAGCAAATAAAAGCTTTATTGTTTAGATATCCACCCAACATACTAATTAGCTTTTTTAAACGTTGCAGAGAAGTATATTTCAAAGAGAAGTTGTAGATTTCATTTACCTAAAACTTTTTTATGATACTCATTTTTTAAACGGAAAATTAAGTAATCACTGTTCATCACAAGAATTACGAAAAAATGTTCAAAAAACGGTTTTCGGCAATCAAATTATAAAACTGACGTTCCATGACAAAATTATCATTACAAATTTAGTGGATGTTAAAAAATAGATCCTCTTTCATTATTGTATGTCTTATGCTGCCAAAGTTTTATACGAATGTCTTAAAATAATTTTTTTTAAAGTGCATTTTTTTCTATATCCAATACCTTTAATTATTTGTAGAAAAAAAATTAACTTTTTTGCACATCGCAATATGTATGTATTGATCAAACTTTTTGCTCTGATAAATTCGTTAGATTATGTGTAAATGTGTATAGTCATGTACTCACAAATTTGGCCACTTGTTTTTGAATCGTTTACAAAATTTTTGCTACCTGTAAAATGACTATCATAGAAAAACAACCGATAAAAACAGTAATAATCATCATTTTAATATTATTAATAACAATTTTACAGCTTCTGCTGCATGTGACACTCAAATGTGCAGAGCTGGCTGCAGTGCCATGGGATTCAAATCGGGAGAATGCGCAGGTGGCATGTGCTATTGCGCAAACTTGGTGGCACAACAATTTCTGACATTTGACATGGATGAGCTGGCTGCCGTTTTCAAACAATAAAATTTAGATCAGTAGCCTACATCTTTATTATTATTTAATTTTAAAATCCTCCTAACACTTTTAGCTCTTCGTGTACATACATCAACAGCTAATGTTAATAGTGGATCACATTTTTTACTTTTATTGTTATAAATATTCTTGTAAACTTTTGCTTTAAATAGAATAATTTTTGAATTGTACTATAATATTTTTCCGAATTTCAAATCTTGGGTGAAGAGTCTTATTCTTATTCTCGCAACACAAAAACATTATTCCCATGTCCCTTCTTCGTATGAAGGAATTTCAGTCCTTTCAAGAAAATTTTGTCAATATCATGTATGTTTTCAAAGTATTAATATTCAAATTTTTTATGAAATAACTGTTCTTTCCATCATCTATAAACATGAGTTTAATGGCCTACGTACAAAATTTAACATACAGTACGTAGTCTTCGTACATGATTGAATCTGAATATGTTATAAATATCGGATTTTTGCGAAATTTTTTCATATTTGCACCTAACAAATTCATGCAGTCAACTAAAAATACTGACAGAAACAAAAAAGCACCTAAACCAGGAATCATATCAGGAACCTCCTTATCAGGAAGTTAAGTTTTTTTTGTTTTGTTTCTAATGAATGTTAATTAAGTTTTTTGGAATTAAATTATCTTGCAGTTATTTATCATACATTTATACATATAAAGTGAGTTATAATTGATGAAAAAAAAGTGAAACTGAGCATTCTTTTTTGGCAACTGAAACTGGAAATCGGATTTTTCAAAGCTAACATGACAAAAGGAAATGGGTTCGAAGGATTAGAATTTTCGGACAACAGTACGACAAACGTGTGACAACAATCGTATTTTATTATATAAATTATTGTTCGGATGTATGAGAAAGAGAGAGAGAGAGAGAGCTGTAAGAGTAGAGAGTAAATTTGTAATTTGAGTAGTAGGTATGCTCTCTCCGTGTGAGTCTGTGTGTTGTTAGGTATTAACTAGACAAGGGTAGCTCGCTTTTCCTTATGAGTGGGGGAAAATTTCTTGAGGTAGTCGATGGTGCGAGGCTTATTCGAGTTCAGTTTTTCGTCCTGTTTCGGCCGGAGCAAGCGACTGGGAAGCCACGGAGTCGACTCTTCTTCGAACTTGGAGATTCGAGAGAGTGACAAAACTACAACTTATCAATTGCCGTGGACTTCATCAGCAACGAGCAGCCTTTTGGAGGCACCGACAAATACATCGTTTTTTCTTCGTCAAATCAAGGCCTTCGTCTCACCTCAACATCTGCGACCGAGATTAGTAACACAGCGCAGGTATTTTGTAAATTTACTAAGAAGAGATAGGAGGTGAGTGTTTTGCGAGTGGCCAGGCAACTATATTATTCGAGACCTTTCGAAAGGTAAAACAAATAAAGTCAATTTCGTTTCATGAGTTAAGAAAATTGTTCTTGCAGTTTATTTTGTTTCCCTTTTCTTTACTATCAACCATGGCAAAATTTGTGGCAGTTACTCTGCGTATGATAGTCAATAATTCGATTGACTTAAAACGTCAACAGGAGGCAAAAGAAAGAAATGTGTAGTTTTATGGGAAAACGAACGAGTTAATAGGAATAAANACATATAAAGTGAGTTATAATTGATGAAAAAAAAGTGAAACTGAGCATTCTTTTTTGGCAACTGAAACTGGAAATCGGATTTTTCAAAGCTAACATGACAAAAGGAAATGGGTTCGAAGGATTAGAATTTTCGGACAATAGTACGACAAACGTGTGACAACAATCGTATTTTATTACGTAAATTATCATTATTACTTGTTTTTTTTTAAACTTTCCGATTACTAACATTTGATTACCTCATTAACATATGTATATGGCATAAAAAAGTGGTAAATCGATTACATAGCGTAGTGATTTTACTACACACCTCAATTTCTCTCCTCTCTACGATACATATTTTATTTATAAACTGAAAAAATTAAAACAACTGATTTATTTCAAAAAATCATCACGATAGTCTCCTATTGTTACAAATATTATAATTATTATTGCATTATACTACTATCGGAGGTAACTATTAGATTGTATACAAACAATTTTTGTAAATATAGATTTAGTATACCTCAGAAGATTGAGATTTTATTTTTTGCCTTTATTTGTAATGACTGGATTGTTAAAAATTCTATTAACATAACCAAATTATACCTTTATTTAAAATTTTTTTTTTTTATAACACGATGCATGATTTTTCAGACCAACTTAACAAAGCGGTACCATTTCGAAATTATCTGACTACATTGTACAGTTGAAAGTCATTATTAAACAATTAACATTCCTATCGCTCGTCGTAGGCTATAGATGTAGAAATCACCTCATCTATTGTGATATCAGTAGCTTTTTGAACGCTAAGTTGTACCCGTCATCGCTTTCCACTCGTCCGCAAGAAGTAAAATTTCAGAATATTGTAAATTTCAAATTGTAATAATATACAATATAGTTCACTTCTGTATAGTGTATGCATGTATATTTTTACAAATTTTTGTATCAGTAAACCAAAATATTTATCAAGTCATCGAAGAACTAAGTAGTATCTGTACAATTTAAAAAAATCCCGTACGACCAGTACTTAGACACGACAACGATTGTTTTCGATGTGAAGATTGAACATCTAAACGTAGAATAGTAAGTTTTTATTTAAAAAAGTATAAAATCTGTTTCAGTATAACGAAATTTTATAATGGCCTTTAATGCAACAAATACACATAGAGTATGGTGTATGCAAATTTTAACTGAGTTAGTTTCTTCTTTTTATTCTTATACTTTATATTATATGAGTAAACTTGATTTAAAGTCATTCGGAGCAAGTGTGCGCACTTTCGGACAAAATAATTTTCCAGGATCAGTAGATGAAGATTTAGAAAATGGTATTATACCTACGTTATAGCATATCAACCCGAAGGTTAAAGTTCAAAGTTAAGGAGTCTTGGGCGATTTTGAACAAAATGCTGGATAGCTCTGAAATTCAGAGATTACGTAAACCAAGTAGCCCAGATTTTTTGATGAAACAGAAATAGGTAGGTCAACATATTCATTTTCGAGAAAATCGCTTGTGGAAATTCGTAATTTTAACACGTAAAACCTTATGAAACCCGAAATTATATTGACTATTGTACTGCAATAAAAAGCTGTGGGCCCAGAAGTCGAATTGGTACATATACTTTTAATTATAAAGAATCTATTACTTAAAAGTAAAGGTAGGGTCATCACGTTAAATTTTGAGAAAACAGTGAGTAAAACGTCGAACGTGAGAATTGTTTTGTTCAGGTATTCATAACGGGCGCGCAACTTGTTTTGAGCTTAGGTCGGCGGCTGGCGCCACTGCATGATTGCGATAATACTACATACTTCATACTTGCAAGTGCAAGCCCTCCAATGTGTTTCAAACTGTATACACGACGGCTCTGAAGATGGAGTTAGGAAACGCATGGGGTCTCTCCCCTCGTATTTAACCTCCAATTCCTCCGAATGGAGGCAAATGACTTCTGTTATGGTGTATTGTGTTTAATGAAAATTAGTGTTGTTTTTACTGACGCCTTGTTTTTAAGAAGCTGATGGGATTGTTGAAAGAAATTGGATGTGTAAAATCGGGATATACTCGGGCAAAACATTGTTTTCGGTGTTAAATGCGGTACCCACCACCAGCCACAATATATGTGTATTGACAAAATAATTTATTAAAGGTGGTATATAGGTATGACATGAACGTGATCACATGAGTCGTTTTATCGTCGATTAATCATACAGCGGCAAAGTTGCGTGCTACGCAGCGGAGAATGTGATTTACAATTATTCCACTGTCGTACTGTGTCAGACAGGATGCTGGTGAGTTTGCGCATTCTGTTTAATTTATTCTGCTGTCAAAATATAAAACACACGCTCGTGCGTTAGCTTTTCCCTACTTTTTAACTGGCGAATATGCGTAGCATTGATTTTTAGTTGAAGCGTTGCTAGTCATCTTTTTTTTTTTTCATAAAATTGTTCGAATTTTTTCTTTTGTTTTTGTTTTTTAATTCATAACATCAATTGTTCGAGAAAATATTGTTAAACAGTCCATGCGGCATGGGTCTTGCTGTTATGGTATTTTCAACATTCGGTTAGAAATGTCTGTTATTGAATAATTTAACGAACATTGTAAACGTGCTATGATTTTCTCTGCTCGTGTATGGTTGGATTTGTTGGTATAGCAACGCGGATTTATATACACAGTTCGTTTGCTCGCGTTGATTTGTACTTACTTACCAATCTCCAAAGTTTTTCAACTCCTTTCCACTTTGACTCGTATGTTTTTGTAATGTAACAAAAAAATTTTTTTACTGCGGGCACTTTTCTATACTCTTGAAACTGTCGTAGTTACAATCATAAGTGTATGGAAAGTGTACAGTAGATTGCATAAAATCTACGAATTTGATGTTTGTATTTGACGCATAACGAATTAATAGTCTATTGTACACTGTACAGTAAATGAATATCTCGAATCCCTGAAACAAGTATGCAAGTATGAGACAGTATTCCATTTTCCATGCAATATAAAATCATCAGTTATTAAGAAGTAGATTAAGAAATATAATACTTATTGCCTGAGCGTTTTAATTAAGCTGTCAAATCAATATCACGTGGTTATGGTGTAAACAAACTTCTGAATGTTTAGAGGTTTATTGCCTTACGGTTGCATGACGTAAAACTTTGTCCAAATACGTCGTTTCCCTATATTGGAATGAGCTTTATGCGTAATATGTAACAAACTATGGTAGCAAATGAGAGAGACTGAGCTTATTACTAAAAAATATTTGATTGCATATGACCAGAATTTTTCAAGCAACGTGGGGAAATCTATCAAAAGTTATTTAAACATGTTATGAGGTTGTATTTAATATCAACAAATACTGTATGTTACCATATAATAAGTTGTGGGGTTAAACAAATATGATTGTCTAATTTTTGCACAACTAAAAAATTCGGAAGATCTGACGTCATATCACGTGAAATCGGTTTGAATACGAGTTGAAATTCCAACTATTAAAAATTTATTATGCCATGTAAAAACAAAAAAAAACTGTCCTACACGCATATTCAGTACACCATTAACTATAGTAAAATTAATATATTAAAAAAACAAGCCAGTTCTCTAGTGGCGTATATTTAGAACTCGATTGTTATGGGAGATTGTAATAATCCAACCGGCCGATGTACACACGTAAGAATTGATTGACAGGTAAAACCTATACAATAGGTGTAATAAAAATAACAAGCTTAACTATAATTTTAAACAAAATTTCACGTTGAATTTTTCTATCATACCTCTGTCGCAAAATTTTGGAAAGAGTTGCTTGAAGAAGGAAAATAAAGCGCATGAAAAAAGCTTTAATTTTTACGTTTCAAAAGTCTCAAAGAAACAATTTTACGAATTTTATTGAGTTTTTCAACTTTTAAGCTCATTTTATTTGTAGTCTTTAACGCTGATAATATCACCCAATTATTTGAAAAGAAAATTAAAGCTTATCTCAAAGCTTTATTATTATTTTTTTAAAAGACTCTGTACGACTTTCTGGGGGATAGTAATAAGTAAAGCAGTAAAGAAAATCAGACATTATTGTGTTGAAACTATTTTTACATTTCTGATTTATAACTATACTCAAGGAGGCCGTAAAGAGTTTAAAAAAAAAAAGAAAAATGAAGCTTTTGAGATAAGCTTTATTATTCTCCTTGAGTCGTTAAAAATTTCATGACTGACTGAGATCTAAGCGATTAAAGTAGAAAAAATGGGAAAATGACGTAAATTCATGAAAATTCACCTGTTTTCAAAATTTTTTTTTTAATTCAAACTACTTGTTCCCAGTTTTGGTTGGTCATTTTTTTTAATGACTAAAACAATATCAAAGCTTTATTTTCATTTTCTTTTAGTCCTCCATACGACCTACTGGAGTATAGTTATGAGTTACATCGTAAAAAAAAAAAATTAAAATATTTAATATTCTCTTCAAGTCGTCAAAAAATTTGATCACCGATTAAAACTGTAAGCGATTGAGATAGAGATAAATAGTAAAATTCTATTTTCTGTCTTAAAGTATTGATTTTCACGGAACTAAAGCCTTTTTATTCGTTGTGTGATTGGTTGAAAGAGGTCGAGTATATTTTTTGGCGGGATTTTTCAAAAATCAAATGCATTAAATTGCAGAAAACATAAAAATGGAACATGTTTACCATACAGATACAATCAAGAATAATACTACTTGATTTGTTTGTACTTAGAAAAATGTTTAGTCAAAAACTTGATACGATTAAAGTTATGACGAAATAAAATAATAAAATAAGTATCGAATGTCCCTCACATTAGTCATACTAGTTTTCATTAGCTTGTGCATGTTTTGTGGACAAAAATTTGTATGCACTAGAGACGGCTGTAAATGACCATTTTTAACGATTTCGTATCAGTTATCAAACAGTAACTTGACAAACTTGGCTGCGTCAATGCTCGGTGCTTATTTCACTGCAACGTTTAAGGGAGTATCCCCTTTAAGTGTACGTATTAACGTCAAGATATCGATGAAGTTTGAAATTCAAATTTAATATTGCATGGTTATACACTTCAGATGAATTTTGCATATACTTTACAGCTTCTAAATACAACTGAAAATATTTCGTCGCTCTCATCACGACAACCCATATACAGATCTCGAATTCTTGTCGGTAACATCCGCACTGATTTTTTGCAAGTGTTAAAAAACATAGGATTTATTATCTGACTTTCAAATGATCATTCACAGATTCTGAGATCGATAATGAATGACTGTACTTCGGACTCATACTTACATTATACATCCACAAAAAAATATTCCGCTACTTACATGTTAAGATTATTTATCTATAGATAACACACATGTAGATATAATTTTAACACGTAAATCTCAAAAAAAGGAACTGAAACCACTGAAACCCGTGTTAAAATTTTTTTCTCTCATTGTACAGAATATAATGAGTAAAATGAGCCCAATTTCAAGGGTGTGCCTCAAAAAATATTTTTTATTAAAATGGGGGATAAAAACGAGATATTTTTTGTGAACCTCATCAAGCTTACGTGAATATTTACAACCTTACCCTCGTGACTTCAGTCCTTGACGGGAATACTCCCTTAACATAGTTTGATATAAAAAACGGAAGATAAAAATTCATTATGTAATAGCTTGTAATAATTGTGTCTCATATTTTAGTTTGTAATACTCACGTCATACGACATGGTCACTGGTTTTAGCATTGTAAATTGTATTATTTTGCTGGTCTCATGCTGATTATCATTTTACTACGAAAAAAAATGGTTATACCGAATTATAATAGAAATCTGTATTTTTATTTATTTTTTAAAATTTTATTTCGACTCTGTGAGTCAAAATTCATATCACTTTTAGTTTTTTTGTAGCCAAGTAAAACCATTTACATTCTGTCACTTATTCATTACTTTTACACGCTGATGTTTATGTTCTACAGAGACCCGATAAATAAAAATGCGGATAGCGTTATGTTACTTCAAACGTCTGGTGCTTGCGGCCAGCTTGTTTATCATAATATTTTGTGCGATTCAACTTTACAAATTCGAAATTGGCTTTAACAATGCTGAAGATTCTAACGAAGAAAAACTGTAAGTACACTTCCACCCATGTATTGTTATCGATACAGTTATGTATTTGTATTTAAATAAATAACTTTTGAAAGTAAAATTTATTGGTATAGCAATTTAGCAATCAATTACGATAGAAGTATCGGAATTGATTTAATTATAAATCTCAAGGTTTTATAAATAAATTTTAATTCACAATTGTTTATACATGCTAATTGTACATGTATACGAAATTGATAAATGGTTGATGGTAACATTGTTAAAAATAAAATGGAAATAATTATAATACCAAAACTTTCGTGCTTTTATTCTAAAATTTGTATTGTAATAAAATTAAGCTCTACACTAAGACAAAACTTTTTCTGATATTTTTAATAAAATGTACTATGATTTATACTTCCATCAAACTACAAAAACGTATTTATTATTCATGATTATCTTCTTGAGGTTATAATTTTAAAGGCAATAGCTTAAAAATTATGTTTTCAAATAGTACTCAAGACTAATCGTTATCTATTTAATTTAATTACATTACACGATATTATCTATATTTTAGCCTTTAATACCTACCTGCACATTAAATTAATAAGACAGTAATTACGCTTTCAGCCAACAACTATCACAATTGATAAAAAATTCAAAGAAAGATTCACAGTTCGTTGGGTAAGGAACAGAAAAAAAAAATCTAAAAAAAATTCCTTCGAAAAAAAAGGAATTTGCTAGCAGAAAACAAAAATACTTATTACAGAGATGGCGAACCGGCGTGCAAAATGCCGGAATTGGAAATTTTCAATCCAGAGATAATGAAATTCATCCACGATGTTTCTCCACTGCAGTGCTCGCCCGACGATTGGGTCAAAGTTGATGGCTCAAAACTATTTATCGATATAAAAGCGAAAAATCGGTATGGCCCCATCACCTGTGCGTTTAACGGTACGTATTCTTACATCTAAAAATCCAAATATTAAGATATAATAATCCAGTCAACAGCTTTCTTTAAATAGATTTTTTTTGATTCGCCTAAACAATTTGATTTGTAAAAAATGATGTTTTATCGGCACAGCTAAAAAAAGTCATATTAAGCAAAGCATAGTTATACGTACGTTACTGCTAAATATCCTCTATCTTAAAGATTGATTGTCACGTGACTGAAGTATTTTTATTCGTTGTGTGATTGGTTGAAACATGTCGAGTGTATTGTTTGGCGAATTTTTCAAAAATCAATTGCATTCAGTTGCAGAAAAAATTAAAATGAAATAAATAAACATAATCAAGAGTGACTCTACTAGATTTGTTTAATCTCTTTTAAAAAAGTATCTAGACAAAAAACTTTGTTTAATATTGGTTACGACAAAATAAGGTTACACATAATTTTTGAATATCTTTTACATTGATTATACTGCGTCACATAAACTTTTATTGAAAGAAATGTTTTTAAATTATTACTTAATCATTTTTATGACGGCATTTTAACTATAAGTTGTCTTTAAAAAAAGATTTGTGTAATCAGTGCCAACATAAATGTTGCAAGGATAAGAGGATGTATGTGTATTGGTTTAGAAAGACAAAAATGAATGAAATTATTATCTACATTAGTAGTATGGTATGCTTATTAAATAACCTAAAAGTGAGTATAAAAGTAGTCACAATGAGACGGGTCGGGCAAAGTGCGTTTAATATAATATAAAGTAAACACAATGATAATAACTCATTCATGCTGCTTATCGTGATAGCATTGATAACGACCTTCGTCAATCATGAGGAATAACGTTTGATAAAAGTTTTTCTTTAATCTTAAACAGCTTAACCTATTTTAACTTTTCCAAAACAAACAGTATCATTAAAATGCTACTAAAAATTATAAAATTATTCATACGAAAAATTCTGACCAATAGATAAAAAAAATATTTTTTAAATACAAATAAATCGATAAATAAAAAATTTTGTTTCCCAACGCAAATGATTATTTCATTTATTTTGCTTTAATACTATTGTGGAGATTCCGGAGTAGTAATGAAATACAGCAATCACGATGACATCGATTTTTGTTGACCATTAAAAATATATTAAACGTGTACGAATTTTTTAAATATTTTTTATAGGTTACTTTTACAAGAATTATAAAAATGAAAATTATGTGATTAACATAGGCTCTTATGGGACGTAACCTCAATTTTGTTGTTTACATGGATAATACAAAACAAGCCTAATTATACTCTGAGATCCAACATGATAAAAATACATTCACAATCATACAAATGAGTTATCAAAATTAAAAACTTTTCGATAGTTCCAAGGCTTCTTTCACGAAGCAAAAAAAAAATTTGTTTTTACAAAAAATATTTCACACATGTTTTTCACATAAAAACATATTTCTCAATGTAATTTCGTATGAAATTGTCGAATATCAAAAATGGTAATAAGTTGTTAACGTTGCCATATGCATAGTTAGTTACAATTTTATGTAGACTTGATCTGCCATTTTCTTGTTATTAAAAATTAAATTTATATGTTTTAACATGGCGTCTTTAAGTGTCGATTAATTTTATAATACTCATAAATAAAATTGTTCGATTATTTCAAAAAACGAACATAATGTAAGAAATATTATGATATTATGAAGGTGTTCTCAACTTGCATTTTCTTGAAATTTCCAATTATTCTTGACACTTCTGTAATGTAATGCCACTTATAATATTATAGTATATTACGAAATGATAATTAACAATAATTATTAAAATGTTATTAATAATTGAGTGAGTAACTTAGAGTAAGAAATTATTAAACAAAGCTAAAGTTTTCAATTATTATAAATAAACCCAGTTATTAATAACATTTTGAATTCAAATGCACCACCAACGTTCAAGCGACAACTCAGTAGATTCAATAATTATTACATAAATAAATGGTTAACTGTTATATGATTGGTAAAACGAGAAAACTGTGGGCGCTATTAAACTACTTTGATACAACAGTATTGTGCAATTGTAATTTATTGATTGGACAAATCCAGAATTATCGAATAAAACAAAACGTACAGCCTCAACAGTAAAATTAACGTTTCGATAATTTTTACTTCATGAACAAAAGAGGAAAAAACAACAATGATTACATAATAAGTATCGAATCACTCTCGGTATAAAAATTTGTAACATCAAGAGCTCATTTTTTTTAGAACCGAAATGCATCAAAAATTACCAAAAATGTTCTTTGTACCAATTAGTTTCGACGTATGATTGACTGGACTATACATATTTCCAAAATCAATGAAACAAAAACAAATTTCAACCATCACCAATGTTTTAACGCAGAAATTCTCAGAAAGGACGATTTTAATTACGAGCTAACCAAAACAGTCGAAACCGACACGTTCTACGTGTTACGGGAAAGCGATTTCGCTGAGGTCAAATGCGAATCGCAAACAGGAAAACAGTAAGTATTCAAACAAAACTGTACAATCACTTGAAAAAAAAAAAAAAAAAAAATGTCCTACCCCGTGATCTCCAACACGCAGATGGCACAGCGTACTAGCAGGTGTGAAAAACGATCCGGCTGGTCGTCAGCGGTATTCCTGGTCGCGGGTGCCCAAATCCACCCTCGGCTTGAACGTACTCATGTTCGGCTTCGATTCCCTGTCACGAAACACCTTCATACGAAAATTGCCACGCAGCTATCGCTACCTCAAACAGACGCTCAACAGCCAAGTGCTCGAGAGTTACAACATCGTCGGGGATGGTACACCTCAGGCCCTCATACCGATATTAACGGGAAAAATCGAGCTCGAGTTACCAGAGACGCGCAAACGCATGAAGTCCCAGGCGAACTACGTCGACGTCTATCCGATGATATGGAAGGACTACGAGGCCAATGGATTCGTTACCGGTTTCATGGAGGACGTGCCCCAAATCGGCACCTTCACTTACAGGCTAACCGGCTTCAGGGAGCAACCCACCGATCACTACATGAGGACTTATTACTTGGTTGCCGAGCAGTACTTCAAATATTCGAAACCGTACTGTTTGGGTGGTACGCCCAGGCATATGGTGGGTGTTATTATTCATACGTTGTACCGCTAAATATTTTCTGAGACGCACATCAATTTTTTCACATGTATTACCGTTTGTTTTCAGTTGATGTTGAATCACATAAAAACTGTCTTCAACGAGTACAAGGATAAGCCGAAGTTTGTCTTCGGATTCCATGGTGAGTTGTCACACGATTCGTACAACGACATCGGAGTTGCGGATGACGATCTCTTGCAATGGATGACAAATATGAAGGAGTCTGGTCACTTGAATAACACAATTTTGATTTTAATGAGCGATCATGGACACAGGTGCGTTGAAACTTCATTTGGCTATATTTTCTTTTTTTCCACTGATACGGCGATTCGATAATCGTGATGCATCAATTTTCGATACAAGCTTTGAGATTATTTTAAAAAATGATTACTGAACCTTAACCCCACTTTAAGTGATGACGTCGCAAGAAATTCAGAGACGTTTAAAAAACCACATGATGTGGTTTTCATATGGTTTACGTTGTGATTTTATTCAATTTTCATATGATTTTTTTTGTCTAAGATCATCTCATGGTTCCGAAACCATGTGGTTTATTGAAAACTGTGGTTTTCTTTTGTATTTTTTGAATGGGCAAAGTTCAGTGACTGTTAAAAAAATTATACTTAATCTCGGAATTTCGTGATAATTTTTTCAGCGATTTATGCGTATTTCAAAACACCACGTAGTTTTCGAGAAACCCCTGCTTTTAAAACCATGTGGTCATCTGAGACAAAAATTCTTATTAATAACAGAGTAAAATCATACCGTAAACCATAAAAAAAACCCACATGAAGTTATGTGATTTTCCTATGTGATTTTTTGTTTTAGTTTTTTTGCGCAGAGTGAAATCCTTTTTGAATATGTCTTTGGAGATGTCTTTGGTAACATCTTTCAAGATTTTTGGAGACATCTTGGAGATGTATTTTGTGACATCAACACTTAAAATCGGGAATTAGGAATTCGAAGAAAATTTAATGATCAGGCAATACTATATTTTCTCAAAGCTGATGTGGCATAGGCATAGTATATCGCGTACTACCTTATATGTTCTGTCCAAAGACATATTCTACCTCTGTTATTCATTTTACTTAAATCCATCGACATTTAGATTTGCAGACATAAGGAATACGCTTCAGGGAAAGCAAGAGGAAAGACTACCTTTCTTCTCATTTACGTTTCCTCCATGGTTTAAACAAATCCACCCCCAAGCATATGCCAACTTCGTTTTTAACACCCAACGCTTGACAACGCCTTTTGACATCCACGCTACTTTCAAGCACATGTTGAATTTCGAGGCGCCAAAAGAGGCGGGTTTGAACGATCGTGGAATTAGTTTGTTCAATAAGGTGAGTCAAATGTATTATTAATCTACAGGCGTACATATAATACTTGAGTATTTTCTAACCCTGAAACGAAGTAAGTCTCAATAACAAATCAAATGACGAGGTAGCAGGTTATAATTTTTTTTTTTCTTCATTATAGAATAATAGTTCAAAACTATATCGTAAATTTCCATCTATATGTGTACATGTCTAGATAGGGTATCGTACACTTAACCTTTACCTTGGTCGAGTAAATCCTAACCCAAAAATCCTTCATACAATTCTTTTAACTTCAAGTATATAAAATTAAGAATACAAATGCATATTAACTTAATATGTTTAATTATAAGCACAAAACAAACTTATAGTAGCGAACTTTGCTTTGATTTCCAAGTTACAAATGTCTATAATATGGAGTTATCAGTTTTAGATAGCTTAGTTCATTCCTTCTACTATAGGTACCTCCTCAAAAAACCTGCAACCTAAATTCAAACAGTGTTTGATATACTAGAACAGTTGTACAACCCTCATTAATTGTACTACAAATAGACATTGTAGTCCCTTGACTTATGTAGGTGAAAATTCTTAGATTAAAAACATCTTATGTTATGTTAGGTTTGAATAATGGAGGAATTGTGGTAACATTGGTAACCCCATTTTATTTTTTAAACTCAGCAGTCTTTTTTTTCGATTGCAAACAAATTCTCCACCTAATGGAATAATTAAATCCTTTGGGTAAAAATTAGTTGTAAAAAATGGTGTGATCCGAATTTTTCCATTCGTGTTTGCACAGCTGTATGTGGGTTCTTAAAATAGAACTCCCACAATGCATTTGGATTCACAATTAAATCTATATCTATAAATCTATATCTACTAATTTACATTTGTAAAGGTTAGATCATAAAAAGAAAAAATACTAAACTTTTGTACCAGAGAATTTGACGAAAAAATATTTTTATCCATTTGAATCGAATATTAGACGTGACTCAGGTAAAGGATACTCTTCGCTGAAGAGAGGTGTTTTTTCGATTTATTTTGCATGTTATTACTTATTAAGATCAAAGCAAGGGCGAATACAGGTCCTTAGCTCCAAAACTTTTTTCCCCTACCGAGAAAGCCGTCAAATCATTTGTATTATTCTCCATTAAATATTACCGTTTATTTAACAGATTCCAATCGAACGAACGTGCGCTGATGCTTTCATTGAGTCGCACTGGTGTGCCTGCCTGTCTTGGCAGGAGATTTCAATAAACCAAGAAATAGCTCAAAACGCGGCCCAGTATTTTGTTGACTTCCTTAATTCTTACACAGAAGATTATCGCAAAATTTGCGAGAAACTAAAAGTGGGAGAAGTTTTGTGGGCTGCCAAACTCATTCCTACCAAAGGTACGTTGAGTGTATATAATTCCTTGTATTAATATTACTTTTAATAAATGTTTTCTTTTCAGGACTAATTAGTTTTAAAAAAACTCGCGATCTCGATGGCTTTGCACCTGATCTTAATGGTAAAACAAAACTCACGACCGAATTATACCAGATAAAATTGAAGACTGTACCGGGTAACGGACTGTTTGAAGTGAGCATAACATACGATGCTGAGAAGAATATGTTTTCCACAAAGGTGTGTGTGATGAAAATCGTATTTATTTTACCAATTCCCTGATGCTTCGTTCAAATTAATAAACGTGTTCGATTTTTTTTTTTTACCATAGATCTCCGATGTCAGTAGAATCAACATGTACGGGACTCAGGCGAGATGCGTGGAAAAGCATCTATTTCATCTACGCAAGTATTGTTACTGCAAGGACTGAAAATTATAGTGCTCAACTATGGGGTTTCATAAAATAAATGTGATGCCGAATGATGATCGGTAAACCAAATGTTTGATACCAAATAGTCATATCAGTTAGTTATGCTGTAAAGTTTTTCACTGTAAAAAAGTTAGATTAACCAAAATATCAGTATATTGACGAATGTAAAGTCAAATTAATTTTTGTATAGTGTCACTGTTTTTTTTCATTTTACACGAATTCGATGTTTCGACGTATTTTATGGTCTGATGAGACTGATGAGTCTTTAGCTCTGTTGAGATTTTACTATTTGATCTTTTTTAAATAAACCTGATTTTTTATAATGTTTTTATTTTGTACTATGCGAGGCTAGCCTTCAGTTTTTTGTATAGAATAGTGTTATACATTAATACGGTATAACGTTATGATTGTTAAATATTAAAACGATTGTAGGGTACTTCCGGAAATCTGTTTTAAATTATTTGTTTCCTGTCGAGGCCGCAAAATGCGACGAAATGTCTAATTCATGAAAAATATAATGAAACACTATACTTAAAAAATAGATGTTATATCATATTTATCCATTTAAAGATACAAAGGAGTGATTACTAGTGTGGATTTGAAGGTTATAAGATCATAAAACATCAATATTTTAATCCACTTGATGGAACGTTTCTGAAAATAGAGAAGTTTTTATCAAAGACATGTTTCACTTTTATTATTAATTTTTGATGGATTTTTAAGTAAGACAAAGGTGATACTCATAAAAATCTTTCAAAAATTCGATCCTCCCGTCATATATAAATGACAGTTTAGAATGATTGTTTTTTTTTGTCATGCAATTGATATATACATATCTTACATATATAGATATAGTTCAAAGTGGGAACCCCGGCCATTAAGATCTTAATATTAAGGCAAATGCTACATAGCCTACAGAGCCGCCATGTGGCTCTTAAGACAATATTGTCTCATAACAATATTTTCAATTGTTAATTATTACTACAAATGTTACCTATTAATAAAAATGAGAGGCGTTTTAAGCAATAGGGTTAAAATGTTTGTACTATCATTGATCGTGGGTTTTTATTTGTTTTGTTGTACGACAACGTAATATAAAGTAATCTAGTCATATCTAGCATGCTTCAATTACACTTAATAATTGTAAAAAAATTTTGCTTTTTTATCATCACGTAAGATTAAAAATTCAGCTTCAAACGTATTGACAACATTAAAATCATATGTGTATTTCATATTAAGATCTTGTTTTATACATAATTACAAGGACTTACAAGGTTATTGAGCATGAAATGTTTTTCATGCACTGAAAAAATTACGTTCTTCTCGAGATCAAAATACGTGCGTATAAATTTTTCCAAATTTTCTTTCCATACGTATGTTCGAGAAAAAAAAAATTTAATTTCACAATTTAGTATGGACTCGTATGGGGTCACTAATTAAATTTCATTGAGCGTAACTTTTTGAAGATTTTTCGTATATTTTTTTTATTCGTTTATGCTTTTTAAAAGACAGCTTACGTTTAATAAACTTACTTTAACAATAGGAGACATTTAAAAAAATATTTTTTATTTATTTAAATGGTAGTTTGAATACAAATTAATAACTGACATATTTATGGGAAGTCTGAAAAATAGCGAATGGCAGCGTACAAATATATCTTACCTTCTTCAATTCCATGTTTACAATTAACTGTTACATGAGATTTATTGTAAAACTACGGGCAGAATTACATCGTACCTTACAAAAGGTTTAGGTTTGGGTATGAAAACGTACCTCTATTCACCACCTCCGAGTATTGTAAAAATGAAATTATAGATATTCTTTATGAAAGAAACACTCCAACAGTTTTTGATGCAGTGCCAGGAAAAAATGTCTATAGGTGTGTGTAAAGAAATACTAAACAGCATTTAACACTGACTAACGTTAACGATCGATTGAGATGCGTTTCTGTTAAATTACTAATTTGTCGAATGTTGATTTTCACCTTCATTTTTTATGTAAAATAGTTATTAAATAAAACTTTTTTTTTTCTTTCTTAAGTTTGTATTACCAATATTTTAGTTTTGTAGAATGAATAACTGGATTTTACGTTAATAAAAAAACATCGCGCAACAACGATTATTATTTTATTCAAAATATGAGTCATGAGAATGCAAAGCTAAATGAAAAGTGCTTGCTATAATATGTGAAAACAGTAGGCTTAGGAATGACAATACTTTAATAAACTTTTAAAAAATTGGATAAAAATTTTTCAATCACAGCATAAATTCCCCACTTTATTTGGTACATTAAAAAATTGTTGTTTACTCCAAGTACTATTATATATTATAGTTATAAGTGGGATAGTAATAATTTACTATTAATGGCATTCATAAGAATTATGGGCATCTATAATTTTATTATTTAAAAACAATCTTATTGTACAACTAAATATCTGGATTACGCTCTGCTAATTATGTGGCGTCTCACATCTCTCGCGCTTCAGGCTCTACTCGCCAGGTGGCCAAGCCCCTAATATTCGCTCTCGTCAAGCGGCGAAATTCCCGCACGATTCATTTATAAGCGCGATCGAGTGACCCTAGGCCCACACCTCTTCTGTGTCTAAGGCAGGAAGCACGTCATCAACCTTACTGATGAGTCCTGATGGCGTGCGCTCGGGACGAAACACCTTTTTCTCTCTTATAGATGACCTCTTGATCTCTGTATTGGCGATCCTATCCTTCGAACCTATACTCTCACCAGGTTCAAAACGCTGTTTCAACTGTCATGAACGAATTCATCAAAGGAAAAAAATAACTACGTAACGCTTATAATGTCAGTAACATGGAATTAACAACCTTTTAAGGCTCAATATCTTTTTAAGTGCGAAAAAAAAATAAAAACAAGATTCCTCCCATAAGACCTGTGTTATTTCTCTTCTATATTAGTCATATATATACTGTGGTCACGTGGCATAATCCCAATGTAGTTATATTCTCTAAGCGTATAAACTGTACATGGACTAAAATGTATTCCAAGATTAATTGTTTATTTTATTTCTGGAGAGACATTTTCATTTACTTAACAGCATTTCAAAAGATTATTGTTCACAAAAACATGCATACATGTTTTACGTGTAATATAAATATATAGCTGCGATCGAGGCTGCGATGTGGCTTCCCGGACAAACCAATTCACTCCATTTTTATGATTTTCGAAAAAAAAACGGCTTTAAAGATTGAAAAGCTACTACTTTTTGACAGCGCAGAAACTGCGCGTTTCCTGCTGTACGCTGTATATACCTAACGTTAGGTACTAAGACAAGACTTTATGACTTTACTTGGGTGATCAAAAAATGCAATCGACTTCCTTGGCTACGAGACGCTTTTTGAGTTATTCGGTTATGCCGGGAACACAGAATTATATGATTATTTAAATTTGTGAATATTGAACAAAAAAACGTATTTAATCACGAGGATAGATGCCATGCCTGTTTGCTAATTATCGATTAGTAGATTTTTTTTACTCAAATAGAGCCATGTAGTACTTTGTACAGTTCTACCGACAAAATGATGGCTTCGACGAAAAGTAACACGATTCGTTTTTTCTCTATTAAAAAACATTAAAAACTTTGAAACAGGTTACTTTTCCTCGGGAATCTTAACTAATCTGGAGCGAAATCGCCAAAGTAAATTCACGTTGGGTGATGAATTTTGGTGCGAGAGGCTTTTCTACGATATGGTTCCTATACATAAGCACCCATGTATCAAAATTTCATAAATACAGGCTTGTTGCAGGTGTTCAATAGACGACACTTATCCGACGAAAACTACCATTTATTATAACCAGGACATGATTGAACATAAGTAAAACTACAAATGTAAGTCTAAAATTGACCACATAGCGCTACTTAAATTACCACACAACTCTTCACCAGAATAAAATAAGTACAGCGAAAATATTCCAGATCTCTACAAATCAAGAATTTCTTCGAAAATATCTGATAAGTAAGAAATGCGGCTGACTTAAATTTTCAAACACTCTCGGGCCTCCGCCACCCACCTGGCGACAGTGGGTGTGGGTGCGTTCCGTAAGCTCCAGCAATTAATGTGTAAGTATCTCGGTATCCTAGATGACATTTCAGTGTAAGGGGAAAGGGTCGGCGACATTGTGCCCCAAACTAGATTGGTGCTTTTTTGCCATCAGGTTGGCTCGAGCAGACTTTGAGAACGAGTGTACAATGAACACATAGATGGATGGAGTACATATAAAAATGGTACGATTTTCTCAAACAGCCAAGAGATTGCGCTACTGATCCCAATTCCTTACGCAAGTCTGTAAGTCACGCGCTAGAAGTATCTGACTTGTATATGGGTGTCTTGTACGGCGTACGCAGATTGCGGATGCAGCAACAGTGGGAGAGTCCGCGCACGCGGAACTCAATACCTATGTAGATACCTTATACCGCGTACGCGGATTGCGGATGCAGCAACAGCTGGACAGTCCGCGCACGCGGAGCACCCACTTTAGAGCAGCATCGAACCGCGTATACGCGGATGCAGCAACAGTGAGTCCGCGCACGTGAAGCAGTAATACTTACACCGCTTATCGACGGCTCTTACGAAAAACAACGGAACTTAGATTATCCCATTTAGAATAACATTGGAATTTCTGAGTTCCGTTGTTTTACGTAAGAGCCGTCGTTATTGTCTAATGTGTAGTTGAATTTTGATTTTTAACTTTTATATTAAAATTTATTAATCAACTTATACAAAAAATTAATGTATTTATAAAAATCATTACATTTTATCATTAATCTCAATGATTGACGTATTTTCAAGTAAAAACTTTTTTCTTACAAGCATTATAATATTTGTAAACTCTTCTTCGTTGCTTTCATCAAATTTTGAATAGATAACATATTTTATACCTTTTACGTTTACGTTGTGGTATCTACATAGGTATTGAGTTCCACGTGCGCGGTCTTCCACCAGCTACGGAAGCGCCTACGCGCCACCTAGCTAGCTAGCCTGGTGAAATTTCAATTTTATGGTGAGTATAGGCCGTGACGATTTAAGGTGGCTCCAGCGTCTAGTGCCGTATCAAAATAAAGAGACTAAAAATTAATCATTATTTTCTTTAAAATATAGTATAAAATTATCGTAGAGACTGTTGTAAGCCATATTCAACATTTTATCTGTTACTTTAGTGAGTTAATATAAAAAAACAAAAAAGTTTTATGGTGCCCTAATTGATGAACTGTTACGGTACGCTCCTAAGTTCAAGACTAGTTATACTAGCCCAGAGAAATTAGAAAAAAAGTGGACCTAATTAACTACAGGTTTTAACATAGTTTGTTGTGCTCATTTGAGGTTCAGAAACATCGTCCTAAAATTGATCCCGATTTGGAGGTCGGGAAGAATGTCAAATTGACGTTGTAATGTGGAAAAATCGTGAAAAACGGACATATAATTGATTTGCTCTGCGACTATTTACATTAGTGGTATCAAATTTTGTCTAATGTGTAGGTAATAAAAATCCGGTAAATTTGCGACCTGTAGAGTTCAATTTAGTCAAATATTTATTTAAATAATTAAAAAACACCACTGAAATTCCCAAAATTTTGATTTATTTTTCATTTAGTGGAAAAAGCTTCTGGATACTTGAAACTCTTTTATGTTCCTTAAGACACAAAAAAATT